TTCATTGAAACTTATTTTTGGCTATTATTTCGAAAATGAAACATTTGCGACCCCATGTTCATGGAAACATTATTTCTTATTTTTTATCCTGAAACACGCACATAAAGTTTATAAACATACTTTTGACTCGTCCTGTATATTGAACATGATACTAATGCCAGGTATGAACATTAGCTATACGTACCACCTGATTCAAAAATCAGTAACGCTCCATTTTGTATTTATGGATTGTTATAATACTTCTTCTTTATTTAAACAGCAAGTCGTCTGGTGAGTTATATTATGGCAAATGACAATTCGGTTTTCTACTGCCATCGAGGGGAGGCTACACTGACAAACAGTAATGCTTCTCCTCTCTTCTTTTTCATAACCTCGATTCTAGTACAACAAGCAGCAATTACGGTGTTACAGATGGAAAGAATCTACGCTGCAGAGAACAGCACACCAAATTAACATTGCTTCTGGTAACAAGACGAAGGAAAATGCCATTTCTAAGTGGTTAACATTCATGCTTTGTATGTGGGACGTCCCGGATTCAAACTTGAGCATACAGGTCGTTTATCTGGACAGTGGTTTTTGTGAAATTTGTGTTTTCTCAGTCCTTCCAGGCACAATAATCATTCTATCATTTATCATTCTTTGCAATACAGTATGAGATATGAAAATCATCGAAGATGACTTTCCATCAATTAATAACACTGGTGTGTGGCCGAATGGGTGTCTCATTGCCCCCTTTTATGGTAAATCTATTACAGTAGGGGCTTCGTCTGATGGTAATATACCTATTGTGCCTAAGGAAGGCTCTGTTCCCCAGTGATTATGGCTCTGGACTAATGTGATTTTTATATTTTTTATCAAAATGTTAGAGGTTTGAGGACTAAATGTTGCAATTTTTTTTGACAATGTTTATGCTAACAAGTTCAAAATTTATTGCATTATGGAAACTTGGCTTAATGACACTATTTTAAGTGCTAATCTGTTTCCTGATTCTTATTACGTATTTCGTGTTGACAGGGACTATTTAAATATTTACAAATTCTTTGTAAGATAAGTCATTCTTGAAACAAGATTCCACATCACGTTGGCCTTTGTTACATTAATGGGATTCGAGATCATTTTTGGGCAATCTCGTATTCCAACAGTGGACGTTTTCAACGCAGGGTGATTGCCACGTTCATTATTTAACCAGATGTATCTTTCAGTTTTCAATCCTTAGTAACGTAAGTACTGTGCAAGAAATGCGCATTACGTGATACATCACTGAAACAAAGTTCAACAAATTTTTTAAGCGCAGGACTTCTCGTCGACTTACAACTAATGTTTATTTATGACTTGTTAAATGTAATTAAACATAACTTACCAATCTATTTAAAATTTAAAACAGTAGGGACGATCTGAAAAGGATTTCTCTGTAACCGGATATTCATACTGCAATGTTTTTCAACTTTATTATTAGCAATTAATTATCTGGCCTTTAAGTTGTATGAAATGACAAGCATTAATTTATATCGTACTTACACATTCATTGGAAGCAATTATGATAATTATCTAAACGTATAAAATAATTAAACACCCCGTTTAAAATATTTTAAAACAAGTACACAGTAATTAACTGTCCCTAAACACTGACAGTTTCGATAAGAAGGCTTATTTATTTACACGAAATCTGGAGGACAGAAAAATTTAAACAATTTCACGGCTTATACCTACGATATTGAACTATGCCTAAAGTACTTGTAAAGTTAAATATGGCCGTACCTATGACGGTCTATTATCAGATTTTCAATGTTCCTTAGTTCCGAGTGCAAATCATAATTACACCAAAATTCCATTCCAGGTCAGCCATCACGTTATGACAACCTCGATGCTCAGTTGGAGATTAACCTTCGACCTGATACTTACCGGGATATTTGATAAAGAAGTTGATGACGATAACGAATTACTATCCTTGGAATATGATGTTTAGTATGGATAGTGATTTTAAAAGTGCATATAAATTGTGTTTAGAACTTTTCTTTCAATTCAATTCTTTGTTATTAGTGTGATTTATCAACAGCCAGAAAGCCAATTACAGATACAGCACAAGAGAGGAACACACGAACACAATAAGAACATAAAAGGTAAAACAAGCAATATATAAAATACATTAATACGGAGGACATAAATACATAAGAAAATTGAAACTAAATATATTAGGATATTTGTAAAAATAATTTAAATCAATTAAGTAAATTATACTATTATAGAATGTGAAGAAGTGTGACAATTTTCGTCTCGAATATATCCAAATCCCTGCAGACAACATTAGCAGCTGATGCTCATCTAGCAGAAGG